CATGTCCGCCTCTACTACTGACAATTCTTGAGACCCTCCGGTCACTCCAGAAATAGTAACAGTCTCGGTACTCTTATACTCCGAAGGCGTTACAGTACACTGGGCTCCAGTATCTATCAAGGCCTGGTATCTCTGTGGATCCGATGTGCCAGGCCATCGAACCCACACAGCCCAGTAAACTCGATTATCTTCTTGGTCCCTCTCCTTCTCCTGGCAGAAGGCAGGGCCCCTCTACTGGTCTTGATCAGAACATTCGTCGTCAGAGTTTGACTTTGACTTCTTAGACTTTTTGCTGTTGCCGAAGTGGACCTCCATCTTCTCGTGTTTTGGCAATCGCAGTTTCTCTTCTAAGAAGTCTCCGTCTACTACATAGACAACTTTCTTGTCAGTCTTCTTTCGCTTCAGCTCCCTCACTCTAGCTTCAAGCTTAGAAGTGGGTTCACCATCCCACTTCTTCATGTTTTCTCCTTTACTACGAAGGTATGCCCATAGTTGGTTACGTGACCCACGCTTAGAGTTCTCTTTCCTTCGACGCGTGAATGACAGGGACCGTGAGCGAGATCGAGACCAGGATCGAGGTCTAGGCCGAGGTCGTCTTTGCCGGTCCCACCGTGATCTTCCCATTGGCCTTTCTTGGTAATCTCTATACCTTCTGTCCTCTCTGTCTCTAAGGTCGTCCTCATATCTGGAATATTCATAATCTCTCTCCATTCTTTCCCTATCGTAGGTGCGTTGGTACAGGGGATTGAAGGAGTCTTCCATATTTTCCTCTATGGTTCTTATCCAAGCACACATAGTGTCCACGCTTGGTTCCTCCATCTTTGGATTATATACGGGTATCAAGCAAGAAATATATGGTTTAGGGGCACCTTGAATTACCTTTTTCCACATTGGTTGCGTGCAGGGAACATTCTCAGGAACTTGGATGTCATAATAATCTGGATCAGAATAGATGATCTCCAGCATGGCCAATTCCCGTAGGTATTGGATGCCTTCTTCTGCAGTCCTCCACCTTCTTGAAGAACTCTTCAGGGACTCCTTAAATGGGTATTTCACTCTCACCGCGTGGAGGATTCGGAGCCAAAGGCTGGATGCCATTTTCTCCCTCCCCATTTCTTGTTCTATCACAGGGTCTCGAGCAATGGATCCCAATTGTCGTGCTTCATCACCTTCAATTACATGACTATCAGCTCCCTTGTCCCAGCATCGCACCAGCCAGGTGAGGACTTCTTCACCAGGCAAGCGCATATAATCTCTCCGTAAATCTCGAAGCTCTCTTGTGGTCAGTGATTGTGTAATTTCGCTTTCTCGCATTATTTCTTGTCCATCTCTCCCACGTAGAATCTTTTCCACCTCTCTCTTTACTCTTCCACTCCTACGTGGGACTGCTCCCGCTTCCTCCCTATATCTCTCATGTGGAGGTAGAGACTGGGCATGCCGTGGGGATAAGCTTCTATATTGTTCACGCTGTGGAGATGGATTTCTACGCCGTTCATACCGTGGGGATGGACTCCTACGCCGTTCACGCCGCGGAGATGGACTTCTGCGCCGTTCACGCCGCGGAGATGGACTTCTATGCCATTCATGCCATGGGGATGGACTCCTGCGTCGTTCGCGATACCCCGCGGGTGGAGGTAGTGAGTAATCTTTCGCGTGCTGAGATAAGGGCCTCCTCCTCCAGTCATTCACACCTCCAAGCGAAGGTTGGGTCTGGAGGGGTAGGGATAATTCCCGCTCCAATTGAGGGGGATGCTTTGGCTCCTTCTTTGCGTCTTTTGTAACACTGAATGTGTAGTCAGGATATAAATCATCAAGCGACAATATACCACCGGCCATTTGTACTGTTGCTTTCTTTTCTCTTGATGCTATTCTGTATTCCTTTGGGCGTGCCCCTAGTTCCTTTGGACGTGCTCCTTCCCGTGTAGCCATTTCTTTCTCTCTGGTAGCTACTTCTTCTCTTCCAATCGCTCCTTCCTCAGTCACAACCACTTCTTCCTCTCTCGCAGTCGCGCCTTCATCACTTGCTGTTGCTCCTTCTCCCATTGCTGCCGCTCCTTCATCTACTACATCCTCTGTTCCTTCTTCTTCCTCTTCTTCTTCTTCCCTTTCTTCTGTGCGTTCTGGTTGCGGAGATGGATCCGTAAGTTCCTTGATCTCCCTTACCCACGTCTTCTTCTTCTCCATAGGGGCAATGATGACCTTCCGGTTCTTAGCTTGAGTCCCGGTTCTAGTGGACTTAGTAGAAATGGCATTGACTTCAAGTTGTGTTTGGACCCCAACATCTGTAGACCTAATAGGGACATCACTGGGTTCAAGTGGCGTGGTTTGGGTCTCTGTGTCGACCTTAACCCTTTGAAGGTGGTCTATGGCAGCTCGATAAGCATTAGCCAGGCCCCAGCACAAAGCGGAGAATTGCATATTTGGATCTTTGTAGGAAAAACACCCTTCTGCCAAACAGTGGGCCATCTCACCAGAATCAAACATTTGTTCTGGTGTGAACTCCCAGTTAATGGGGGGTGACACATGTCCTACTAATCTACCGAAATCTCCCCAAGCTCCATGCCACCCGGGGACTGGCCTGTCTGCAGCCCTTTCCAAAGTTCCAGCGAGTCCCTTTGAGGTGTGATCTTTCCTACAAGAGGGAAAGCAACGGAACCCCATTCTTCCAAGTTTAAGGAGCACTTCCAGTACCTTTATCAATGACAGTACTGTTGCAATAAGATTTATATAGTAATTAGAGCCGATTTTAACCATGGGGATCTCCTTTATCAAACCTTCGATGTCAAAATTAAAGGTTGGAAGCAATTCGTTCCATCCATCCTCAAGGTCTGGACGTCTCCCTATAGAGTAGCCTAACACAGGTGTAAAGATGGCTAGAATTATAAGACAAATTAATGAAATAGCCATTGCTTTTGTTATTATTTCTTCTTGTTCTTAAAACAACCCTTTGTTTATATAAACAAAGCTTCCTTGGCTGCTTTCCCAGACCTGTTCCCAAAACAATAGATTGGTTGCAAAACAACACCGAGCTTGGCTGTCTTCCCGGAAAATGTTTATCAAAACAAGCCAAACTTAACCAAAATATCCCACTTCTGACACCAAGAATGTTGTGCAAGTTTCGAGCTGGCTTCCCGCCAAGTCCCCCGAAACTCGACAACGAGGACCCGCCTCCCAGAGAGGGAAAAGAGAAAACAGAAACAAGCAGCCAAAGCTATAGCAAAAATATGTATATATATATATATATATATGTTTTATATATGAGACAGATACACAAAAGGAGAATACCACACACCGGGGGGGGGGGGAAAGGGGGGAAGGGAAGGGAGAAGGACAAAAAGGGGCAAGGACCGCACAAGTCAAACAACCAGCCGAAGGCAAATTAGCAAAAATCTCACCACTTCCCTTCGAACAGGCAGGATGGCTAGACACGGCCCTTGGCTCTCCCCTCACGGGTGGCAGATAACAGCAGTCACTGTAGGCCTCGGCTCCAGATAAGCCCGACCGAAACAGGGACCCACCGTTCTCGAACCTCGCCGGAAAGGAAGAGAGCGAACTATCTTATCCATGCCTTATTTATACCCTAGGTTACGTAAAGGAATAGCATGGAATACTTCCTTGGTCACCTTCCTAGTTCCTTCCTGGTTACAAGCTGGTTTCCAGGAAGGCCTAGACTGAAACCACCACAATAATGCAGCTCTTCACAGAAGCTATTTCTTAACAGATGCCAACAATAGCACTGCTTTCTAACTCTTTATACTGTAACCTGCAAAATTTCTGAGGGGTTGAACTTCAGTCAACTCAAACAGTTCATCTGGACTTTAGTTTTCACAGTACTGGTTCCTCATTTTATACGTTCCCAACCCCACAAAATATATGAAAGAGCTACCGCATTTTTAAAAGCAACAGTCTATTACTCAGCAGCCACCACTAGCAATGCCCTTAAGGAGCACAAACTGCTTGGCTAGAACTTGGGGTCAGCCACTATCACCCTACACAGGAATGCCTACCTCATCTCAACCATTTTCTCCCACTTATTTGGGATGTGAAAGTTTGATTTGAGGAAGAATCATCTCAGTGTATTCCTCTCAGTATATAACCTGACTGACAGCTTTGTTTTAGACTGCACACGAATCCACCATATGTGTGCATATTGGTTAAAACCAAAGATTATTTCTCAACAGCATGTGCCTGACTAGCATAATCACAGGCACAAAGGCAGCATCCTTGTTCTGGGTAAGCAAACAGCCTCCCCAGTTATTACTGTTCTTGGGAAGCTTACACTTACAGATATTTTTAGAAAAATCCATAAGCTGCACTGCCATGCACTGCATAGCCTTCGTTTTATTAAGACTGAAGTTCAATGCCGGTAATGCACCAGAATGGAGACTGAAAAGTCTGACTGGACATATTGCCTTTTTCCCTGTGACTAAACATTACTGCATGCTGTGCTGATGTCTGCACAGTACATGTAATTACTTCAACCAGGAAAGTTTTTGCTCTGTATTACTCAAATGCTTGTAAAGGGAGTCTGCCCCTCTGCTCAGCAGTGTCTGCACAAGGCAGGGTGTCTTCGGTTGTGGGCAGATTATAACAGACTACCTGCTGTCACTGTGAAGTTGTGCAATACCACTACTGCTGATTAAAAATGTCTTTTCTCATGTGAAAAGGCTGAATACATAACACAGTGTTATGATCATCTCAAAATACCCTGTTTTAGCTTCTTTCAAACCTATTCCTAAGTATTTTCTTTCTCTTGCTATCTCTCAGGTGAGTTTACTGTGACCACTGGTTCATTAGGTGATCCAAATTCCTTTCATTCTGCTTTTCTGAGTCACTTAATTTGTTTTTACTCATCAGATTTCAGATTGGAAATGGGGGCTTCATGGGCACAGTGCCTGTAATAAATTCTTTCTGGTTACTGAGTGCCACCATAACGCAAAAAAATAACAATGCTATAGCTAAATAAATTAATTAATTAATCAATCTGAAAATGCACTGAAATTGAAGTAATAGTTGTTGTAGATTTTTTTTTTCAAATATCAATAGAATAAAAACTCAACTATTAAGAGCAAAATGTAGCATTAGTAAACAATTTTAACATTTTCTTCAGGATTTTTTTTGGGGGGGAGACCGAGTTAGAAACAAGTTAACATGCTGTTTTTTTAGCTTATAGTATCACACAGGAATAGCTTCAGTGCCTGCACCAATATTTTGATGACCTGTAACACCCCAGATTATTATAGACTGCATTGTATTATTTGCAACTTTTAAAGAAGAGAACATTCCTGTTTTGTACAAGAAATATCCAATAGGCACGGGGTAGGAAGGCATTCTCATCATCACCAGTCTTGGCACTTTTCTAAGTTACATGTTCATTAACAGCCCTCAAGATACCCTAGCAAACAACACTAAAACATAACAGTGATCCAGGTGTCAGCCATTCACCCCTACAAGCCCTAGATCAGTCCAAAACACTTAATGTAACTTTAAGATTAAAAGAACGCTCACTCAGCCTTCTAGATAAACTTTATATTAGAACAGCAGAAAATGTTCTCCATGATGACTAGAATCTTCCTAAACACAAACTAGCCATGTACTGCCTGTACTGCCTCCTTTCATTAGCATTAATTTCTCTGAATCCCAGGACTGCTATTTATTATATTGACTATCCCACCAGAGACAAATCTAATACTCTGTTAATGAAGGTGCATCAAATGGCATCAAAAATAATAGAAATAATTTTAAGACTTCAAAATATTGACTAACATACCTGAAGAATTTTGTTAACTTTTATAACAGGAGCTTCATCATTTACTGCAGTAACAGTTACAAATACAGTTTAGGGCAAACTTTGTTTCCACAACTCTATGTTATTTACTATCAGAGTAAAACTGTCCATCAGTTCTTCACTGTCATCATGAACATAGTAGATTAATTCTTGTTCCACCTGAAAAATACAACAAACTGAAAAACTAAGGAGGCTAGAAGAAAATATATCTCACATTGAAAAATACTCAAGTCTAGTCATGCCCCTCCGTACCATGCATATACTGGCTGCCTTGGAGCAAAGACATGACCTAAAAAAATTACTTTTTTTCCACTTTCTTCCTTGTTCAATTTACACACCATATCCTGCAGTCTTTTCAAAATGTACCCACAGCCTTATGTCATCCTACATTTCCAGAGTATCTACAATGCTGCCTGAGAATGAGTGGCCCATCAATCCACTGCACTTATCACAGAAGCACACAAGGAAGTGATGTGGTTCAATACAAGATACTCTCCCTCCCCACTTCAAATGACCAGCTAGAAACTGCATAAAGATGCTGGGCTCAAGGTCAGAATAAAGCTCAAACTCATGCATCTCACCACCTCCCACAAACCCCCACAGCTTTCAGCAATACAAAGAATCCATCATGATTACAGCAAAGCGAATCTAAATGTGTTACCTGTTTTCTGGTAAATGTGGTTAACTTTATTCCAGGAACATGAGAGTTTTCAACATACCCATGTTTTGGTTGCTCAGTTAAAATGAATTCACAGCTGAGTCCTACAAAATGTCTACTAGAAATTTTTAGATAGTCTTCCACCAGGGCTTTCGAGCCCCCTTCAATTACTGTGAAGTTCTGTACTTCCAGTGGAATGATTCTGGGGATGATGTCTACAGAGATCTCTATTCCACTCACTGTTCGGACACCGTTGGTCACATCCAGAAAAAAACAGTCCTCTAGTTGGTTAGAAACTGTCTGCACATACTGGACTTTGCCCTCGTCGACATCTTGCTGTGTGAAGCTCAAAACTGGCCTTTGGTCAAAACTGAGATAACTTTCTTCCAAGGAAAACTTCTGAATGCATCCGTGTACTGGAAGCTTTCTTACTGTGAACACAATCTCAGATGGAGAACTGTTTTCATGAACAACCTTAAATTTAGGGAAATATCCCAAAATTATTCAAATGGAAACAGGAGAAATACTATAATTCTCTTCTGAATTTTTCACTTTTAACCCTGGGACTGTCTACCTAACTAAAATGGCATTCCTTAATTGAGTTACACGGTTCCCAAAACAATACAATACTTTGAGCAGAAACGTATTAAATATATGTGACCTAGGAGCCTTCTGTAACCACAAGTATGTTTTGTAATTTTGAAAAGGAATACACTGCGGAATTAAGTAATGGCCTCACAGCTATAGATCCTGCCTGAAACAAGGATTTCAGCAGCACAGCAACGTGCTGTCAGAGCCCCCTCGTGGTGGTTATTGGAAGGCTACCCACAAACAACGGGCAGGAAAGAATTAACTAAGCAGAAACGGCCTCCGGTTTGTGATCTGATGTTTTTAAAATTTTGGATGTAGTCCTCGAACAGTTTTAACTGGGCTAGCTCCAAACTGAACGAACCAAAACCGTTTCTTCCTTGGCAGTTCCCACCAGCTCAACTAAGAACAGTACATGAAGTACCAACAATTGTTAGAAGTGAAACAAATATATACATGCAGCATCCCCAAATTCTAATTTTTTCAAGCACCAGCATATAACAAATGCAAAGATTATGGGCAGCCTTTTTTCTTTAACATAATCAGTTTTCCTTCCTATAAATGGAAGCTTGCTAGTGTCAGTATTTACACAATTAAGCATCCAGAATGCAGTCATATTAGTGGTAACCAAAAGGAGTCAAAGAAATGAAGACACAAACTAAAGACAGTGCAATGGCTGAAAAAAACAGTGAGAAAAACTTGCAACAAGATTGGAAGAATGGATAGCACAGTTAACTTACTTGCAGTTTGCCTTTACTGATTTCAACTAGTTTTCCTTCTTCAACCAAGAGATTGTTTTTGTTTGCAACCCTTGGTGGCTGCTGCTGACTTTCCAAATATATGCAAACCTGCACTTCAGCATTTAGATGGACACCTCTAGCATAGACTGTAAAGTTGAATTTGTCAATAAGGTTGTTGCTGTCATCATGCCTGTAGGTTACATGCCCCTTTATCAGATCACGCTGAGTAAAGGAATCCATCAACAGATTATTTACATATATTCTTCCATATTTTGGGAAAGAGAGTATCTCATATGTAAGCTCATGATCATTTCTTATGTCTTGGTTTGTAGTAGCACTCAGGTTAGCTGTTGAAACGGTTTCCTCTTTCCCTTTTTGAACCAACAGTCCTGTATTATTTGCCAGCCTAACATAAGGATCAGTGGCATTAGCTTCTAGAAGCAAAGAAGTATAGTGCTTGCCATCTGTCACAAAAAGAACAAAACACCCAAAATCTGTACCACGGCGTAGAAACAGGACTTGCTTTTGCTCCAGGTCCGCTTGTTTGAATTGGTAGAGTCTATGCAAAGTATCATTTGTTAGCACCAAGTCCCCATTGGAAATACCACGTCTAGTATATAGCAACTGTCCATCATCAAAATCAGAATCAGGATCATGATAGCAAAGATCTGCCAAAGTCAATAATCGCTGCCCATTTCTCACTATGTTAAATATCGTATCAATCACACGTATTGGTTTCTCATCATTCTTCAGCTGGACAGAAATGTTGAATCTAATTTCTACTGACAAAGGTTCTACTTCTGGATCAAAGTTTGCCCACTTTCCTGACTCTTTGCTGGAAGCTCTGACAAGGAATTCATCAAACGCTGTCTCAGAATCATCATGCACATACATAAGGTGGTTATTGGTTATATCTTTATTAGTGAAAGTTGTGAGATTGTCATTATTCTCAAAAGGGCCTGAAAAATCAATAAGTTTTAATTTCCCATGCTTAGGAAACTGTATAACTTTGTATTGGAAAGTTTTATTATTTACTGTTTGCACAAACAATTTCGTGCTCATTATTAACTCTCCTTCACCTTCAGTAACATTAAGGCCATTGTTAGTCAAAATAATGTTTCCAAAATCTGATTTGATGTAGACTTCAAAGTCATACAAATTTGATTACAGATACTTTGTAGAAATTAGGAATCTAAATGAATCATAGTTGTCTTCATGGTATCTGCTGATTAATTCATATGCCACTTTTTGATCAGTAATATCTTTTTGGCTAAAGACTGAATCTTTTTTCAAAGGTTGGTCATTAAGCAGTATCTGTCCATTTCTTGGTAGAGACAGCAATTTAAAATTAAGCTCATCTTCAGGTATTTCTAGATCTGCAATAACAGCAAAAAGATTATCAGAATTCAAGTACTTCTTTTTTGACTTTTCAATTTCTAGAGGACTGTGTTTCAATAGAGTGTACCTTAACCATTTCACTTTGATTGGAAATGTGCGCTCTTCACTGATTCTGTTTCCTACACTAACTTTGAATTTAAATTGGTCGGTAACATTTTCCAGCTGAATTTCTTTAGAAGTGCTACAGTATCTCACACGGCTGCGCTGAAGAGAGCGTTAAGAAAAACAATTGACTTGCTTCCATTCCCCCCTTGAATGCTGCCTTTGGACTTGACCAAACTGAGGTGGCTCTGTGATTTCGTACTGTATTTCCAGTTCCTGGAGGACAGCATTTGTTTCAACTGCCAGATGCCTAGGTGTTATAAGAGTTGTAATACCTTGGAGTAGATTTATTCCTGAGTTGTTGACAACTCTGTAATCCAAAGGAACTGCCATGACACGTAACACAACAGTGTTGCTCACCTTCTCACCGTCACTTGCCCTGAGAACAAGCCTTGAGTTCTTGACACCTGTGTGGACAAAGAAAACAGTACCTTCTCTTAAGTCCTCATTAGAAAAAGTAGTAATGGCTTTTCCAGGATGCTTTGAGTTTTCTAAAAATCCTGCATCTGCATTCAGATTTCCAAGGACTGAAAGACTGAGACCCTGAGAATCTGTACCCTTATCTAGAACTTTTATCAGGTCTCTAGTCAAACGTTTCTTTGAGTTCTCTAAGAGAAGCAGCAAGTTTCCCTCAGGAAGTGCGATCTCAGGTGCATCATTTACTGGAATGACAGTAACGCTAAACACATGCTGCTCATTTTCTTGAAAATATGGAGGCATGATCTTCTCACTGCTGGTAGAAATGGAGGAATTAAAATAATCGTAAGTGTCCTCAGAGCCGTCATGGACATAAAGAATCTTCCCTTGCCACACATCTGGCATAGTAAATATATTTACCTCCTGCACTGGTCCAATATTTAGTTTCAAGTCTCCATGAGAAGGTGTCAGAGACTGAAATGGTTAATGATTTATGCATTCTAGGAGACTTTTGCAGGCTTTTGACTTGCATGATACCTCTGATGAGCAGTCGGGCCCCTCCCTCCCTCCAGTGCTGAAGGTGTGAAGTCCTGAAAAGATAAGAGCTGAGCTTGCAGGCTTTTGACTGTTGATACAAAAGACACAGCACAGGCCTAGAAGATGCCTCAGGTGGACTAAGCCCTAAAAAGGCAAGAAGTTGCCTCAGAGGGGCTAAGCCCTAAAAGGCAAGAAGATGCCTCAGATGGCCAATCGGGCCCATCTCTAAGCCCTAAAAGGCAAACAACTCCTCATGCCAGGGAGGTGCAAGAGCATGCTGAGGGTATATAAACTGACTGGTGACTTTGAGAATTTGGGGTTCTCCTTCTCCCCCACCGCCTGCGAATCAAGACCATCGCTCTCAAGCATCACTGGATCCAGTGGGCAGTGACTATATACATCTGTCCACTCTCAGCTTTTCTTTCTCTTACTCTCCCTTGCTCTTATGCTGCCTTTCTCTCCCCTATGCATTTTTCTCCTCCCCAGAAAGGTTATGACAGCACCCAAAAATGTTAACTTACCTATTGATTCAAAATTGTTAAAATAAACCTTGCCAGTATATGTTTTATGACACCGGTTATTTAGTGTCGTTTCACTTTAATCCACCCCAAGGGAATTATTGATAAAAACCTGAGTTACCCCCCTCTCCCCTTTTCCTGGGGCGGGTCGTAACAGAAGGTGGTTCCTTTATTTCAAAAAGAATTTGTGATTGATGAATTCCTAATTTCTCAAAGTCTAAGCTGACCTTAATATGCTTAGATTCGAGTGAAGCTTGTCCACCCTCTGGCACAATCAAGTTACTTAGAACTAAAAGGTGGCTCTTGTCTTCCTTGCCCAGAGAGACAGAGCTTTCACGAGAAATGGCAAATACTGGGGCTGTTTTCACAGGAGGGTTCTTTACAGCCATCGCTAAAGAAAGATTCGTATTAAAAGCACTCTGCATTTCACATCCAGCTGAAATGTCCTTAGTTACCAGAACATTCTTCAGCGATTTCTTTTCTGAGTTGGCTTTCAGGTTTCTTAAGCAACCTTTGAAGGATCCTCCTCTGGCATACTTCCCAGATACTGAGATTAGCTCTAATTTAACCACTTCTGATCGTACGCTGTCTTCTACACCACCTACAAAGAGGGATCCCTTCAGAATTGGCAGCTTACTATGGGGAGGCAATGATTTTTTCACAGTTTCTTCATCCAATGTCAGCTGCAAATATTCTGCAGTAAATTTCAGCTTGATGTAGTGCCAGTGACTATCATTGACCGATCTACGAGAAGAAAGATGGGTTCTATGTCTATGTTTTCCAACATAAGCTTTAATTAAAGCACCTTTCATTTCCATTGCAATGAAATCTCCCAATTGCCCAGGGTGGTAAAGCAGCAAGCCACGTGCAGCTGAGGTTTGCAATGTACACTCAAAACTTCCCTCATCGTCCACATTCCATGATGGGAAAGAAACATAGGACCTGGAACTGAAGAAACTAATGGGTTCTTCACCCACAAAGAATTCATCACTACATCCCACCGAAACTTCATGGATGATTTTGAAGCCAGGAGAAGGTCTCAGAGGCATCAGAATGTCTCTGTGGTTGAACAACACATCATCAATACATCCTCGGAAACTGGGTAGTGCTCCAACAAGGTAGGGAACATCAAGTTTACTAGTACCACCTATGTAGAATCCATAATCGATGTTTAATTCATAGAGAATTCCAGGTATTTTTGCACTATCATGTTTATCAATTACCAGTGTGACATTATCATGTTCATGATGTAGTTCAACCAGGTGCCAAGCTAAATCATTCAGCTGAGATCTTTGCTGAGAATGCAGAACTCGTTCCCCCACACCAAAGTTAATTCTCAACTGCAAGAGATAGAATTTTAACTATCAAAATACAAAGTGGTATTTTTCACAGTCATATATTAATATATGGTTAATACATTAATTTTCACACATTTTCATACTAAACACATAATTTACAAAATATAATTGAAAAAATAAAATCCCACTAAAATTCTGTGTAGGTTTACTTGCCATGACAAATATGACCTGAATAACTCCAGAAGCAGGAACGGACCTCTCTGCAGTTCTGCAAGGAACAACAATCCTGAGAACCCAACTGACAATGATCTTTCAAGACCTAACCTTGCAGAAAAACAATTACTTGGATCCAAACATTTTTTATGATGCTAACATCATCAAATCTGAAATTCTGCCTTTACTGAATGTCATGCTTTGAACACAATGACCTTGATTTTAAAATCTAGATATCTCAAAGCCTATAGAGATATAATTGTAAGAAATAAATACCATATTTTGAAATTATCAATTATATTTTGCGATTTTTCCATTTCTTTAAACAGAAACTTTGAGACTGGATATAGACAACGGCTTAAAGAAAAACACTAAGCAATACAGGCTACACATACCTTTTTAGGTACAGTTATAAAGCATACCTGTACATATCCTGAGTGTAGCTCCATTAAACAATAATCTGTCTTCCCAGCTGCAAGAAAAAGCAGTCCCTGTGCCTTGCTTGTTCGAAACTGCAACTGTAAAGATGTCTGAGAGGATACCTCTGCCGTGTTCAGCTCTACAAAGCTATCACCATAAAATGAGACTGAAAGAAATAAAGGAAAATAAACAGGAAATTTAATCACACACAATAAAAACTCTCTTTTTCTTATCTACAGCTAAATGTATGTAAAAAAATTTATATTACTCTCTATAAACTTAAATATGCACAATTTAAAATAAATCTCAGATACCAAATTCACCAGTCCACACAACAAAATAAGAGCCCCATGGCCCTACCAGTATGGGCAAAGCATGAATACAGCCCAGTATTCAATCTCCAACAGTGACGACTGAGAACTGTAGAAGCAGTGCAATTATATTGAATAATTTCTTTCAAATATTCTTTTCTGCCTTGACTGTAACATCAGTAAGCTTTCTCATTTGACTACTCACTGCCTTTACCATCCCCATTACTACTATACTGAACAACACAAATCCTAAGACCAAAGCCTCAAAAACTCTGCTAGTAACTTCCCTCTGACACGTGAAAAAATGAAATCAATCATTTACCCCTCCTCCTACTTAATCCATTACTTAATATACAAAGCCCTGCACTCCTATTCAATGGCTGTTCAAAAGCCTCTGACGGCAAACTTTATCAAAAGCCTTCTGAGAATCTAAATCTTAGATGACTTGCACACCCAGGTCAAGAAAGCTGCAACAGGTTTGTAAAGCAGAACCTACCTTTAAAGAAATTGTACAGACTCCTCCCAAGTTGATCCTACTCACTTGTGCATCTTCTATCCTTTGTTACAGTATCTATAAATTTGACAGGTATGGATGTCAGGCTTACAGACCCCTGGTCATTCTTGTTTTAAATACTGGAATAAAATCTGCCACCATCCATGCTTCAGGTACCCAGGGAGTTAAAAGCATGAGATCAGACATCACTCTTAGCAAGCAAGTTATTTCACCCTCAAGTTTTTTTAGGTCAACCCCTCTCTTTCCCTGCCTCCACCCCAAAAAAAGAAATTTCAGTTTGGGAATCCTCCCAGTTAGCAGCAAACACCATTTAATTTAGCTTCCCTGCAGTAGCCATGCCCTTTCTGAGTGCTTCTTTTATACAGATAACTTAATCAACTGGCTGCACAGACCCTCAGCAGGGTTTTTATTCTTGATGTACTTAAGAAGGATTTAGTAAAAGCTTTGACTCCTTCAAGCTGATCCTTGACCTTTTTTATTTTTTCCCTCAGATGTGTCTATTTTCAAATTACATCTGCTAGGGTTTATGATGCTTCAGCTGTGTTAGGACACAACTCTGCAAGGACACCACCACCTAAATATTTATTTTGCAGTCTTTAACTTCATTCTGAAATAACTCCCTCATTTTAACATAGTTCTTCTGAAAGTCAAGCCTAACTGCAAAGGACTTTTGAGGTTTAATTGTTCCAGTCTCTACATTAGCTGTCCCCGTGCTGAATCTAATACACTCTGATGACTCTGTACAAAGTGTGGCTTTAACTCAGACTCTGTACTGGATTCTGCACAGACTACCAAATCAAAGATCTCATTAAGCAACTGATTCATGAAATAATCATTAACAGTATCTAAAACTTTGCTGTAAGATATATAAAAATTCTAGGTAGCTTTCCCAAGAACAACATTCAGTAAACCCCACAGCCAAAAACTATGTAATAGCAAGCTATATAAAGTACCCAGAGAAACACAGGAAAAATCCTCAGATTTATCCTCAGAAATACATGTATTTCTTCCAAAGGAGGAGTCACCACTGTGCTAAGAAAAACTGGTTCCAATTGGAATCAAAAGCAATTCTTCCTCACCAGTGTACTTTCTAGCTCAAAAAAAGTTTTCATCAAATAGCTCTAATACACTTTACAAGTCTTACATAAAATTTATAGACTGCAAGAACCTATGCCACTTGTTGTACATAGAAATGTTATTCTGTAGAGTCAATACAGACCTCCTCTTTAAAGCGAGTATTGGAATAACAGAACTATAGACAAATCCCCAGTATAAGAAACGACTAATAAGTCAGGAAACAGGTTAAATATTTATAATTTTTTATTTTGTCCTAAATTCATATTTTGGCAGTGCCTGGGACTGTCACTGTACTATTTAATGTACAGATGGACTATAGGAGATTGTCCCTACCCTATAGAACTGTAGATCCAGTGTCACAGGTAAGGAGAGGAGGCCCCTGATTTCCTCCTCAGTAAATGATGCACAGAGATACTGTCTTCCTGTTCAGGTTTCAGCTGGGATAGAGTTTATTTTCTTCCTAGTAACCAGCATAGTGCTGTGTTTTCGATTTAGTAGGACAATAATGTTGGTGACATGGTGGTGCTCACCCTAAGTTAAGGACATTCCAGTGTCCCACGCTCTGCCAGCAAGCAGGTGCACAAGAGGCTGAGGGAACCATGGCCAGGAGAGCTGACCTGAACTGGCCAAAGGAATGTTCCATACCACAGACCAACATGCCCAGTATATAAACTTGGGGACATCAGTCAGCAGATGGTGAGCAACTGTATTGTGCATCACTTGTTGATTTGCAGTTTTACTTCTCTCTTTTTGTTGTCTCCTTTTTCAATACTATTATTACATTTTACTTTGTTTCAATTATTAAACTGTTCTCATCTCAACCCACAGGTTTTACTTCTTTTTTCTTGATTATCCTTCCTGTCCCACCATGGGGTGAGGGACTGAGCAAGTGGCTGCGTGGTACTTAGTTACCAGCTGGGGTTAAACCATGACACTTCCTGAAGATCACAGGTAGCACAACCCAGCTGTCTGAAATAACCTGTCCTAATCAAAAGAAGACTCCATTTTCGTCAGCATCATAGTAACATCAGAACATCAATATAACGTTATGGGTACAAAGAGGTTTCACCTTGAGAAGACAGACCACTCTCCTCACCCTACTGAGCCTCCAAGAAGCAGTTACGTTCATTCACGTTCATCCTTGCACCCCCACAGAACTGGCAAGTAAGAGATTCCATTAAAATTTATCAGTCAAGTTCCTCAGAAATTAACAAATTAAATCAAAATCTTTCACAGATGTCAATATCCTGAAAGTTTCATTATGATCACTATAACACGGCCCCCAAATTTAGTTAATTTCTGAATGAACAGTAATGATTGCTGATGGAAATTAAAAATTACTTTTAAATACACTACCTTTTCAACAGACTTGAGTATGTGCGGAAAAAAAATTGGATTTTTTGGGAGGCAACTGAGCAGAAAGATAAATTTATCTATGAATTATAAAGCGCAACTTGGAATAACTAGAATGAAGCTGCAAAGTCAATATTTTGCAGTGCACCACTGGGAAAAAGTTTGATATTTATACTATATATAGATTCCCAAAACGGAAAAAGGAAACATAAGTTAAAGCTTTTGCTTTCCATAAAACTTACTTCAGAGTCAGAATCCATCACTGCAGGTGGGGCAGGTAGGCATTGATCCAACACTAAACGAGATCTTGGGCCAAGACCACCCACAGTGCCTTGACATAATTTCTGCTTCTGTACCCACCAAACGAAGAAGCATGTTATTACAGTATAGGAATCAAGTTCCTCTAGAACAGACACTTTCAGAATGCTTTTTGGCTGAAACCATGTTATGACTGACCTCAAATTTAATCTGGTGCTTTTGAAACAGGGACATTTTGTCGTGGACCATCTGACATTAATCACATCATTACAGAAAGTATGTGACCTCAAAATTAATCTGGTGCTTTTGAAACAGGGACATTTTGTCATGGACCATCTGACATTAATCACATCATTACAGAAAGTATGTGCAGTTCAACCAGCAATACCAGCCTTTAAGGTCCCTTGCTGCTTGAACAGGTGAATTCAGCATGTCATATAGGGAAAGATTCCTCTGCAGTGCCTGGGCAGACAGCTTATTCTGTAACACCTCTGGGCCTCAAATAGAAAAGACAAGTGAAAGCAGCTGAGAATGACAGCCAGATCTATGTCAGTTATTAACGTCCTATTATGGACACAGAAATAGATACACAGAGGCTCAAGAAAATAGAGGCATAATCACTTGGGATGCAAATTTAAAAATCTGTTCAAACTCAGTTACTAGTTTGTGGTCCCCATCCCTCTCCCTTCTCCCTTACAGCCAACCCTCAACGCTAGGGCTATAAATTCTTCCCGCTATTTCCATCACAACAGGTAACATTTATATGGGAAGTGTAAGTTTTGAAAATTGTGTTTCAAATAATATCACTGAAGATTCTCAACCAGCTCTGTCCGCAACATCTTTCTTTGAAGCAACCACAAGAAATCAGGCAGGCATAGTGAAAGCCTTCATAGCCACAGAGCAAAAGGTTCTTCATTCATCACTTAGTGGTGGAATTTGGTTGATATCTTATCTTTTTGTTCAGCTTTCATTCTCTAGTGCTAAAAACATTATCCAATTCAACCAACGGCTACACTTTGAATAATGTTTCTCTTCTTTCTGTACTCAAAGCACAAAGAAATAGAAGCCTCATCACTCCTCCATCGCTGAAACTAAAAACTGTACAAATGTATCTACAAGAAACCAAGCTCAGAGTCACTACACAGCTAACATGAGCAATGCACATGGATAACTCTGTCCCCCTTCTTGGGGCAGCTTTTGTCCCTCCATTCTCAAAAGTTTTTTTTTATACCTTATATTTCTTCTGTACTAACAAGTCTTTTACGGTGCTTCAATAAGAGGTGGAGGGGTTGTACAATCTAGAGATGAAGGCACGTTTCCAAACAGTAAAAATATGTTCAGCTATTTAGAAGTATAGCTTGAATCCTCATTTAAGAGTCCTCATGCACTAAATGCTAGGCAAACAAAGAGATAGCTTGAGTCCCAATAGCTTCTGCCATAACTAAGATAAAACATGCAGATGAAGACGCAAGTCTGATCTTTATTTCCCTAAACCACAGGAAAAACAGCTTGCAACCTTCAACATAAATAAAATAGGAAGACTGTCCCTTGGGATAAGATTTGAGTGCTGGAAACAAGTGTTCAGATTCTATAAATACCAAATAGAAAGCTGTTGTGATATTAATAACTTTAAAAGCCTTGTTTGCTATGACTGTACAGCACAAGTGGAGACAGATCAAAAAGAGAGAAAACATTAGTGAGAGAGTATCAAATTCCGGGTACCCTATGTAACAAGCTTTTTTAAAAAAAGGTAGAATGATTAAAGGATACATTTGCAATTACTGCATGGACTCACATCCTGCACTATAAACATGCCTAGAGCTTTCCCATAGAACCAAACCATTTCTCTAGCTCCTTCCCACTAAAACAGCTTTGCACTCAGGTCCAAGGTTTCAATCACTGCACCACATGAACAGTTGTCAGTCCTCTCCAAGGAGAATTCCCTAGTGTACAGACACTTCTACAAAAGTTTGTAGCTTTAAAATGTCTCAGTTCTGTGCTGAGTAACTTAGCTGGAATCATTAATCAGAACTGACCCAAAATGATTCTTTTCACATGCTGCAAGTATCTGTTACAAAATGTTGTGACTTGTACATTTATTTCCCTATCTAGCTGTACTTCTTGCTTTCATCTTGAATCTGTCAGTAACATGTTTGAAATCATTGTGAGTATCGGGGAATCTCAGATTTGGATTTTGGAGAAATAGATATTGAGTTCTAGCAATTGCATAGAGTTACTTTAAAAGTAACTAGTTTAACTAAAGCTTCTGAAAAAAAACTAAGTGCTCTGATAAAGATGCTATGAAGATAAGAGAAAAAAAAAATCATTAACTAACTGAAAAATAATTCCTTCAGGCAAAGTACCTTATATGGGTAACATCCCATTGGAACTTTGGAAAGGTCTGCATAATTGTCCTGGGTTTGGCTGGGATAGAATTAATTTTCTTCTTAGCAGCTGGTACAGTGTGGTGTTTTGGATTTATAGCATATCAGTGATAAAAATCACTATTTTTTAAAATATAATCCAAATAGCAAAAGAAATTGCCATAGATTTCATAGAGTTGTCCAGAGCGGCATATTCTGGAAATAAAGATGGTCAGTTCTGCTGATTCAAACCTCAAGAAACTAGCAGTTAAAAACTGAAATTTGATCGCAATTACTTTAAGTAATTTCCTACTTGCTTTTTTTTGTTTCTGAACAACAGTGAAGAATCAGATTGGTAGCTAACTTTTCTCAAGCTTCTGACTGAAACCTGACCTCAGAAACCCTTACAGTTGGCGTGACTGCCCATTACAACTAGATTGAATGGGCTTTAAAGTCCTAACCAGAACTTCAAGAGCATGATGACTGTCCTTACACTGGTGTAATCCAATGCTGGTCACAGTCCTGTATCTTACAGTGAATCTCAATGCCTCTCACTTTTGCAGGAGGAAAAAGTGAAACTCCTTTCAGTCTGATTCAGCATAAACTACTATTAATCGCCTGTGGAAAAAAAGCTCCAGAAAATATACGCTTATAAATAAAAATGCACTCGTGGCTTCTTTTTTTTACTTCACAGTTAGTTGAAACTATACTTAGAATGTTCTTTTTTTTAACACAGCACATGCTGCATCACAAATATGATCAAGTTCAACTGATGAGACTGAAAAACACTACTAGTACCACAGAATTCATAATATGGTTGGCAAATCTTACACTCTCCAAAACACGCTGCTGAAACTTTGAAAAACAGGAGTTTGGAAGCTTTGCAACAAGGATAAAGAGCAGAAATAATACAACAGAATGATGGGAGGAGAAGAAACAAAAACAATCAAAATAGGACATTTCATAAAGAAAAAGTACTACGTCCATTTTTGTTGGTAGCAGGTGACATCAACAGCAGGGGACACGACACGGGAAAAATGGAACTGGAAAAGGAAGCTGTCAGATTCATTGGGAATGCCCTTTAAGGCTAACATAACCATTATTCAAAAGGGAATTCTCAGGGTTGATTCACACTTTGTAAGTGTAGAATTTAGTGAGATTTTTTGGGTAAATGAAATACTATCAGGGTCTGCAAGCCTCTTTCACCTAAAATGTATATAGTGAGGAATAACCTTGTGCTGCATCTACAAATGCTTTACACACCAGACAAGATGATGTTTAAAGGTCCCATCAACCTAAAACTTTCTATGATTCCATGATTTCCAGATAAAAGACAGTCCTGTAGTTAAAGCACTGAACATGAAACGAATGGAACTGATGTTATTTTCTGGTTCTATAACATAAATTCACTGAAAACTGAAGAATTGGGAAACCCACTTAACACCTAATTTCAGTCCGCTGTCTATAAGAAGCAGTTAGTCCTTTTTTTTTCCTTCCAGTCTTCAATTGTTTTTTCTTCTCACTAGATTATCTCTGGGTAAGGCTATAGCTGTAATAGCACCTGGAGTAAGAGAAAAGAGCTGGAATTTAACCTCCAGTTAGGCTCTCATTAATTTCTGAAGAACTAAAAACCATTTTTTTTAAAGTTACAATTAAACATTAGTTTGTTTCTAACTTGTCTTCTCATCTAGTGAAACAGACACCACATAATCACAGATCAGACACTCAATATTTCTAAAGAAAGAGTTACGGCAATTGGTTCATCTCACATGGAATTGCAAAGAGCATGAAAGACCACATTACTTCAACTGCTTGATGATCCATTATTTTAAAAAGATATTTAAATAATAAACTCTACTAACAGTCTTTGATGCTCAAATTATAATTTATTTCAAGTTGTATCTCAAGAAGAAATACAATTCCCAGCTAAAGTTTTTGGCTGTTCCAATGATTTTGGTGACTGCCCAGGCCCTGCACCGTAAGATGCATCACCAGCAGTGAGGTGACTGGCATGTCTTGGCACATCTGAAAAGCCAAGCATAAAACAGCTTAAGTTGTACGCTAAAAAGCAGATACCTGCAGTTACCGGCTGACACTTAACATCGAGACTACTGGTTGACACCCATGCCAGAGCAGGGGAAGGAATCACAGGGAATGTTCTTGCACGTACCATAGCATATTCCTTGTGATATATTACAGGGAAGGCATCACATGGAATGTTGTTGGACGTGCCTTAGCACTTTCCTCATGACATACTACAGTTATGACTGGGGTCGGGGGGCGGGATGGGGGAAGTTTTCATCCACGCGGCTTGGGTTCTCCTTGTCTTTATTAGAAAGTCTAGCTATGTCAAGTCACAGCATCTCCACAGTGGGAGGAGCCCGGACCGGCGCGGGCTCACAACGAGCGGCCAGGCTCGGCCTTCGCTTCAATGCACAGGGACATCACGCTGTCACGAAATGCCCCCTGTCCCACCGTCGGCAGAGCCCCGGCATCCCGCCCCCGGCCGAGCGGCTGCCGGCCCGGGCACCGGGCCGGGGCAGCGGCCAGTCCCCGCTCGGGCTGCTCCTTCCGCGGGAGCACCGGCGACAAGTGGCTCCAGTGCTCCGAAGAGCCCCAGGGCCGCCCGGCCTGGCCCGCCCGGGATGCCGCTCCCCCCGCGCCGGAGCTGCGGCCGGTCGGCGCCAGGCCGCCCCTTCCCCCCGGCCGCAGGTGCCTTCCGGCCCCGCCGCGGCCCTACCTGCGAGAGCCGCCCGGCGGGCAGGCACTACTGCCACCACCGCCACCACCGCCACCACCGCCACCAGCAGCGCGGCGGGCGCGCCGTCCATGCCGGAGCCGCGGCCCGGCCGGGCACCCCCAGCACGGCCCAGCCCTGCGGAGCGGCGGAGTATCGCCGCCCCGGCCCCGCGCTCCCCGCCCGCTCTCCCGGAACGGCCTCCTCCCTCCTTCCCTCCGTCCTTCTTTCCCTCCTTCCCCTCCTTCCCGCCCTCCTCACAGCGCGGCTCCTGCGCCGGCCCGCCCTCAGCTCCAGAACACCGGCCTGGCATGGGACACAGGGGAGCTCCTTCCTGCAGCTCCGGCTACCCCCACCACGGACGGGCTTGGCCCTCCTCAAGGCTGTGGTTGAATCTGTGCTTCGGAAGGGACCTGCCTGGATGTGGTGTACAGCTGTTGCCAGTCGTTCAGCCACTTCAGTCTCCCTCCGTGGCCTGCCTGTCGCAGGGGGGAGGCTGCTCTGAGCTATCCCCAAACCTTCCCCTCTTCTGGCTGCAGCCCCCTCTCTCGAAGTGTTTGCATACCGTCCGTAAAGAAACACATCACGTTACTTTAGTGAAGAAACATGTAACAGGAAGTCCAACCAATGGGATCAGAAACTGAAATGAGCACAGAATCAAGAATCAATTAGGTTGGAAAAGACCTCTGAGACCATTCAGTCCACACTATGACCAAACACCACTGTGTCAACTAGATCGTGGCATTAAGTGCCGCGTCCAGTCTCTCCTTGAACACCTCCAGCCAATTACAATATCTAGTCACCCTTTCTGTGAACAAATTCTTCCTAATGTCCAACCTGAACCTCCCTTGGTGCAGCTTAAGACTGTCCTCTCATCCTGTCACTAGTTGCCTGGGGGAAGAGACCAACTCCTACCCGGCTACAACCTCTTTTCAGGTAGTTGCAGAGAATGATAAGGTCACATTATAACCAGGACAAGACCTAAATTAGAAAAAATTATGTATTTCACACCTCATCACTGGTGTCCTGTTCTTGAAAACACAGTTTCAGTTTAAAAAATGTTTTATAGAGCACACTTGAGCCACTCATGTATAAGCCTTTACTGTACTTAATTCAAATATGCAGATATGCCTTGAGTTACATAAGTCATCCGTTCCAGGAACAGCCTTGCAGTCATGAAATTTTCTCTGATGTTATCAGCTGGCAGGGTGCACTGCAATGTGTCTCAACAGGTCCATTATTTTTTTAACTTGTTACTCCCTTACACATAGGACCGGAATTTGTGACCTGAAATTTGACACTAAGTAAGCAGAGTAAAACTGAGACAATATTCCAAAACTGCAGAAAGGAGAAAAAAGGTTATGGCATGAATCTTTTCTCTGTGTCAGCTGTCTGATTCTTTTCTTCCTTTGAGGTTTACAGTCACCATTTAGTCTAGATTTTCCCTAGAAATTTTTGGCAAGCTTTGCTGTCTATGTTTTTAGAATAATGTATGTGGCAGGAGAGGGGATCTGTGCCCAGAGGGAAATTGTGGGGAGTGATCTTCCCCCAGATATCACTTAAAGGCTTTACTAAAGATTTCCAAGACAGCGGCCTAGTAAAATTCATTCTTTTCACATGGGCACTCAAAGAAGATTTGTGAAAACCAGGAGGAGGAGTTGTAAAAAGTGCCGATGCCTGAAAGACATGAGTCCAAGATGTGAACGAGAAGGGTAAAAAGAGAACTTAACATGGGATAACAATTTATAACATGACAGAGACTGGAAAAGCAGATCTCCACATGTGCATCAGCAAAACTCTGTGCTGCAGTAGGGAAGCCTGGGGAAAAATTTTGCCTTGGCATCATTCATGAATTACATGTGTCTGATTTAACATATCCCTGCCTTGGACAAAGAATTTTGCTGGGACAGTCCTTGGATTATACTTCAGAAGGAACAGCATCATTTGCACTGTAGGCTTTGAGAAGTAGTAGTCAAAACCATATTACGAAAAAATACTGCAGCAATGTGCTTGAATGAGAGGCAGAAGGTAGGTAAATGGGACTATCCCAACCATACCAGGTGTTTTGGGGTTAAATGCAGAAACAGCAGGACAGGGAGTGCAAGAGCCCTGGTATCACATTCGCTCCTGATGAGGCCACATGCAGCACGCTGTGCAAGCCAGGGGCACCTCTGTGCTGCACCGGGTCACCACCTGGAGATCTGAGTTAGAGAAGGGAAGAGAAATGAATAATGTGATTGGAGGTATCACACTGGATGCTGAGCTACCAAACCTTTGCAAAAAAGAATAAGCCATATTTTTTCGAATACCTTGTGATTCATGGTATAGGACAAAATTTGGGAATATGATGCAGTTATTTTACGGTATGTAAAATATTTTACGGTATGTAAAATCTATTCCACATTGTAGCTACACCAATGCAGTCACAAAAACATAATCAGTCTCTAGTGAATAACATAGCAGTCACTGAACTAATATTTTCCTTAAAAACAGTAATCTTTTTTTTTTTTTTAGCATGCTCATTTCAAAATTATCTCTTGTCCAAAGAAAGGCAATCTGCTCTGACACAGGAGAAGGAATGGACAGAGCTGGAATTGTTCAGCCCAGAGAAGAGGAGCTTCAGGGAAGTCTTACCAATGTCTATGAACAGGTGATGGGAATATGTGAAGGAGAGGGAGCAAGACTTCTCAGAGGTATCCAGTGAAAGGTCAAGCATAATTAAGCACAAACTGAAATGTAGGAAATGGCATTTAAAAACAAAAAATATTCCTCACACTGGAGATCAAGAACTAAAAGAGGTTGCTGAGATAGGCTCTGAGGTCCTCATCCTTGTTCATATTCAAAAATTGAGAGAGCACAGCCCTGAACAACCAACTGTAGGTGCCTCTGCTTTGAACCGAGAGGTGAGACAGTCTCCAGAGGTGCCTTCCCACCTCAGTTGTTCTGTGATGCCATAATTCAGAAATCTTCATGGTAATTTAGAACAAAATTAAGAGACTTCTGAAAACAGAAAAGTCACATCTTGAGAAAGCCCTAAATAGCTATAGCTTTGAGTCACATTTTCTTAAGTCATTCAGGATTTTCCAACCCTGAGTCCTGCTTGCTTTCAGCAGGACTTAGGTTTCTTAAGAAGTGTAGATTTTATTTGGTTTTTATTTTATTTTTTTAGTTTTTGCAGTTTCCAGATTTCTGTGGTTTGGCTTTTTAAATTTTTTTCCTGTTTGACTTTTATTACCTAAGGATTTATTATGTCTTGAAAGCATACCAAGATTTGTTTCCTCTACAAAAACAATTCCAATCATTCAGTCAGAGAGACAGAAATGCACCATAGAAAATATTCCAGTTTCTGTTCTTTCTTCCTCCTCTATAGGATGGTTCCAATATGCCAGCTGCATATGCAATAGTTGACCTCAGATATAAATAAGTTATGGATGTCATCTCATCAAAAGCAAACACAAACCTTCAGTCTATATAAATCCCCAAAGATCCTGTTTGTAATGACACTAGAGGGAGTCCTGACACTGCAAGAAAATCTTTTTCCTGTGACAATTCCTTAAGTAAATAGTGCCTTATAAATGAAAATGTTGTTGAAATAGAGCTTCTGAAGAAAATGAAGGAGCCATTCAATTCAGATGACATCAGACAGTATTTGAACTCTAAATTCCAAGTTTGCAATGATTCATATATAGAAGTGAATTTTAAAAAGGGCATTGTTAATAAGGATTTTATTTTTTTAGTAAAGAACATATTTAAAGTCAGTATTCAAAATTAATCTCTACAATATTGTTCTGATAATTTAAATTACAAGGGACCTGTTCTACAAAACCTATGCTCTTCTTGTGATCTCCGAATACTTAAGATAGACCATGTGGCCCTGAGTTTTCAAGTTAGACTTAGACAACAGAATTTTTACTGAGGTCAATATCAGTTCAGCACTCAGGACCTCTTTTTCAATAAAGATAGGTTCCCAAAAATGCACTGGTGCATCCCACAAGTTACTATGATATGCTGGTCCATGCATGTTTCTAACCATGTTAACAATTTTGAAAATCAGAGATGTCTGAAAGAGAAATTTGCATGCACCCAGGACTAGTGGTACTCAGTACCTCAGAATCATAGTTTATCCTATTTGCACTGGGATTGGGAATACTCATTGCGCCGTGGGAGATCATAACATTCAAGCCTAAAGCAAGGCAAGGCACTATGCTCTGAATGAAGGAGGATCCAAATGCAAGGGATACAAATGCTTCCTTTCTTCCCCTTGGTGGTCTATGCCTCAAACGAAGACCCCTTAGCCTGCTTCATGTATTCACCATATCCTTGTCCCTTTCAAGGTTTCGTGGAGTGAGTGATCACCTCTTGCTCCTTTCCTGATGCTGGGTGAGCTCTATCAGAGAACTCAGAGATTGCATTCAGGAACAGGGCATGTAGGAAATTAAAACATTCCCTTTTTCTGGTAGAGTGGCATAGCCTGAGAGACTCAGTATAGGAGGCTGCAGCTGCCACTAGAAGGAAAGGGAAAAAATTGGTGGAATGATACTGATGGGTAGTGGCGACTTTTTACCTGCATGGCAATTGTGTGTCCTTGAGATCAATCTGTTAAGTTGCCAGCCCAATGGAGATTCCCAGTGCAGGAATGTTACCAGGGCAAGAGGAAAATCACAGCTATGCAAGCAGGCCAGATACCAGATTTTTTCTCCCTTGAGCTCTTCATGGGGTAAAAGCTTAGGCATGCTCATCCTTCTTTTTCCATCTGTAGGTGGCAGGGCCCAATTACATCAGTTTGCAGCTGTGCACATCTACAGGCTGTGCAGTGAAGGACCTGCTGTCCTCCCCTGCTGTCTTCATATTTATACCTGGATTGTCATGGCTGCTCAATTACACTACTAAAGGCTGCTCTTTGTAGGACTCGGCTTACAGGAAAGATGCTGGATGAGGCATCCTGGGAAATGAAGTCCCGAAGTACTCCCACACATGGGCAGTGAGAAGCCCTTGGTCAAGGGAGTCACGTGTTACTTTGAGGTGTATATAAAAGATGTTGTCTTATTTGAATAAAGAGGATTTGGTGCTGAACCCTCAACTATCTAGTGGGGTCTGTGTAATTTATTAATATAATATGCTGCCACGATGTAGGGTCTGCCTTATTCCCCATAGAATATGTGCTAGCAAACACGGGACACTCACC